GCCCTGTCCGGTGATGCCGGCAGTACGCAGTGCCTGGAGCCATGTCCCTTTCAAACCCCGCTGGTTGTTTTGGCAGGAGGACTTGTGCCACCAAGATACAGAGTTCCTGCGTGCCCAGCTCAAGGTCCTGGCTACCGAGAGCAACAAGTACCGGGCCAAGACAGACCGACGGAAGCAGCGCTCCATCTTCCGGGACGTCCTGCGCTTCATCGAGGTCCCGGCGTCCGCAGTGCCTCCCTGCCGAGCCCCTGCCTGCGCGGCTGCTGCCGGTGATTCCCCTGTGCCGAGAGCCGGCAGGGTGGGCACCCAGGCTGCGGCTGATGCCCCCATTTCTGCTCAGACAGGGGAGTACCAGGAGGAGACCATCCGATTCGGCTTGGAGTGCATGTACCTGGACAGCTGGGCACGCCAGCGCACCTACCAGGCCTTTAAAGAGGTGCTGGGCTCTGGCATCCGCCACCACCTCCAGGTAGGGGCTGGGTGGCCATGCCGGGGGCTGCTGGGCTGGTGCCGGCATGTGCTGACGGGCCCCTCTTTCCACAGAACAACGAGCTGCTGCGAGAGATCTTTGGCCTCGGGCCCCCATTGGTGCTGGATGCGGCCGCTCTGAAAGCCAGCAAGGTCTCGCGCTTTGAGAAGGTGGGTTCCCCGCACAGATTTGTGCCTGCAGCCCCCTCCCGTGCCACCATTGCCTCCTGTCGAGCACCCGAGTGTGGTGTACGCTGGTGAGGAGGTGGGCAGAGGGGCACCCCCTAACCTGTCGCTCCTTCCTCCCCTCCCAGCACCTCTACAACTCTGCTGCCTTCAAAGCCCGCACGAAAGCCCGGAGCCGGGTGCGGGACAAGCGGGCGGACGTGCTGTGACGGGCAGAGGGGGGCAGAGCCCCCAGCCCACCTGGACTGCGGACCCAGCACTGTGAGGGGCAGGTGCCCTGGCCCTCGGGCTTTTATTCATGTACAGCAGAGTATTTAATGCCTGGAGCTGCCCCACTGGGGGTTGCCCTCTCTTTTATTTTTTTAACCAAAGAAACAAGAAGGACTAAACAAGAGCAGGGGGAGAGGTGATGGCGTGCCCCTCTGTGCCTGCTCTGCGTCTGGGGCTCTGCATTGCCATGGTGGGAGGGGGTCTTGAGGCTCCTGCAGTCCCTTTTGGAGGCAGGGCTTATGTCGCCTCTTGCCAGTCCAGTGGGGGCACCGGGGTAGCCTAGCACAGCCTGGAGGGCCGTGTGGGAGGGCAGAGCCACGCAGAGCTGTGGGGCGGCTGGCCCTGGCATCTGTGCCTGTAGCAGGAGGGCTCTCTAGCTGCCCCCTGCCACGCTGGGCACTGCCTCTGACTCC